CATCCTTGAGCAATGGTTTGTAATTTTCCTTGAAGAGGTCCTTCACATCCCTTGTTAGTTGTATTTCTACATATGTTATTCTATTTGTAGCAATTGTGAATAACAGTTTACTCATGATTTGGCTTTCTGTCTATTATTGGTGTATAGGAATGCTTGTGATTTTTGAACATTGAATTTGTATCCTGAGACTTGGCTGAAGTTGCTTATCAGCTTAAGGAGATTTTGGGCTGAGATGATGGGTTCTTATAAATATACAATCATGTCATCTACAAACAGAGACAATTTGACTTCCTCTCTTCCTATTTGAATACTCTTTATTTCTTTTTCTTGCCTGATTGCCCTGGCCAAGACTTCCAATATTATGTTGAATAGGAGTGGTGAGAGAGGGCATCCTTGTCTTGTGCCAGTTTTCAAAGGGAATGCTTCTAGTTTTTGTGCATTCAGTATGATATTGGCTGTGAGTTTGTCATAAATAGCTCTTATTATTTTGAGATACATTCCATCAATACCTAGTTTATTGAGAATTTTTAGCATGAAGGACCATTGAATCTTGTCAAAGGCCTTTTCTGTATCTATTGAAATAATCATGTGGTTTTTGTCTTTGGTTCTGTTTATGTGATGAATTACATTTATAGATTTGCACATGTTGAACCTGCCTTGCATCCCAGGGATGAAGGTGACTTGATCATGATGGATAAGCTTTTTGATGTGCTGTTGGATTCACTTGCCGGTATTTTATTGAGAAATTTTGCATCAATGTTCATCATGGATATTGGCTTGAAATTTTGTTTTTAGTTGTGTCTGTGCCAGGGTTTTGTATAAGGATGATGTTGGTCTCATAAAAATGAGTTAGGGAGGATACCCTCTTTTTGTATTGTTTGGAATAGTTTCAGAAGGAATGGTACCATTCTACTAGTGTACCTCTGGTACAATTCGGCCATGAATCCATCTGGTCCTGGACTTTTTTTGGTTGGTAAGCTACTAATTGCTGCCTCAATTTCAGACTTGTTATTAGTCTCTTCAGGGATTCAACTTCTTCCTAGTTTAATCTTGGGAAGGTATAAGTGTCCAGGAATTTATCCATTTCTTCTAGATTTACTGGTTTATTTGCATAAAGGTGTTTGTAGTATACTCTGATGGTAGTTTGTATTTCTGTGATATTGATGGTGATACCCCCTTTATCACTTTTTATTACATCTATTTGATTCTTCTCTCTTTTCTTCTTTATTAGTCTGGCTAGTGGTCTATCTATTTGGTGATCTTTTCAAACACTAGCTCCTGGATTTACTGATTTTTTGAATGGTTTTTTTGTGTCTCTATCTCCTTCAGTTCTGCTCTGATCTTAGTTATTTTTTGTCTTCTGCTAGCTTTTGAATTGGTTTGATATTGCTCCTCTAGTTCTTTTAATTGTGGCATTAGGATGTCAATTTTTTATCTTTCCTCATTTCTCTTGTGGGCATTTAGTGCTACAAATTTCCCTCTAGACACTGCTTTAAATGTGTCCCAGAGATTCTGGTATGTTGAGACTTCTTTCTCATTGGTTTCAAAGAACTTCTTTATTTCTGCCTTCATTTCATTATTTCTCCATTAGTCATTCAGGAGCCGGTTGCTCAGTTTCCTTGTAGTTGGGTGGTTTTGAGTTTCTTCATCCTGAATTCTAATTTGATTACTCTGTGGTCTGAGAGACTGTTTGTTATTATTTCTGTTCTTTTGGATTTGCTGAGGAGTGTTTTACTTCCAACTATGTGGTCGGTTTTAGAATAAGTGTGATGTGGAGCTGAGAAGAATGTATATTCTGTGGATTTGGGATGAAGCATTCTGTAGGTGTCTATTAGGTCCACTTGGTCCAGATCTGAGTTCGAGTCCCGAATATCCTTGTTAATTTTCTGTTTTGTTGATCTGATATTGACAGTGAGATGTTAAAGTCTCCCACTATTACTGTGTGGGAGCCAAAGTCTCTTTGTAGGTCATTAAGAACTTGCTTTATTTATCTGGGTGCTTATGTATTTGGTACATATGTATTTAGGATCGTTAGCTCTTCTTATTGTATTGATTTCTTTACCATTATGTGGTGCCCTTCTTTGTCTCTTTTGATATTTGTTAGTTTAAAGTCTGTTTTGTCAGAGGCTAGTACTACAACCCCTGCTTTTTCTTTGCTCTCCATTTGCTTGGTAAATCTTCCTCTATTCCTTTATTTTGAGCCTATGTGTATCTTTGCACATGAAATGCGTCTCCTGGATACAGCAAACCAATGGGTCTTTACTTTTTATCTAATTTGCCAGTCTGTGTCATTTGATTGGGGCATTTAGACCATTTACATTTAAGGTTATATTGTTATGTGTGAATTTGATCCTGCCATTTTGATACTAACTGGTTATTTTGCCTGTTAGTTGACGCAGTTTCTTCATAGTGTTGATGGACTTTACAATTTGGTATGTTTTTGCAGTGACTGGTACTGGTTGTTCCTTACCATGTTTAGTGCTTTCTTCAGGAGCTCTTGTAAGGAAGGCCTGGTGGTGACAAAATCTCTCAGCAGTTACTTGTCTGTAAAGGACTTTATTTCTCCTTCAATTATGAAGTTTTGTTTGGTTGGATATGAAATTCTAGGTTGAAAAATTCTTTTCTTTGAGGTTGTTGAATATTGGCCCCCACTCTATTCTGGCTTGTAGGATTTCTGCCAAGAGATCCACTGAGTCTTATGGGCTTCTTTTTGTGGGTAACCCGACCTTTCTCTCTGGCTGCCTTTAGCATTGTTTTCTTCATTTCAACCCTGGCGAATCTGACAATTATGTGTCTTGGTGCTGCTCTTCTCAAGGAATATCTTTGTGGTGTTCTCTGTATTTCCTGAATTTGAATGTTAGCCTACCTTGCTAGGTTGGGGAAGTTCTCCTGGATAATATCCTGAAGAGTGTTTTCCAACTTGGTTCCATTCTCCCTGTCATTTTCAGGTACACCAATCAAATGTAGATTAGGTCTTTTCATATAATCCCATGTTTCTTGGAGGCTTAGTTCATTTCTTTTCACTCTTTTTTTCTAATCTTGCCTTCTCACTTTATTTCACCGAGTGGATCTTCAGTCTCTGATATCCTTTCTTCTGCTTGATCGATTTGGCTATTGAAACTTGTATATGCTTCACAAAGTTCTTGTGCTGTGTTTTTCAGCTCCATTAAGTTGTTTCTGTTCTTCTCCGTGCTGGTTATTCTAGTTAGCATTTTAGCTAACCTTTTTTCAAGGTTCTTAGCTTCCTTGCATTAGGTTAGAGTATGCTCCTTTAGCTCAGAGAAGTTTGTTATTACCCACCTTCTGAAGTCTGCTTCTGTCAATTTGTAAAACTCATTCTCTGTCCGGTTTTGTTCCCTTGCTGGTGAGGAGTTGTGATCCCTTGGAGGAGAAGAAGCATTCTGGTTTTTGGAGATTTCAGCCTTTTTGCACTGGTTTCTTCCCATCTTTGTGAATTTATCTACCTTTGGTCTTTGAAGTTGGTAACCTTTGAATGGGGTCTCTGAGTGGATGTCCCTCCTGTTAATGTTGAAACTATTTCTTTCTGTTTGTTAGTTTTCCTTATAGCAGTCAGGCCTCTCTGCTGCAGGTCTGCTGGAGTTTGCTAGAGGTCCACTTCAGACACTGCTTTCCTGGGAATCACCTGCAGGGGCTGCAGAATAGCAAAGATGGCTGCCTGTTCCCTCCGCTGGTAGCTTCATCCCAGAACGGTACCCGCCAGATACCAGAATTCTCATGTATGAGGTGTCTCCCAGTCAGGATACAGGAGTTAGGAAGCCTCTTGAGGAGGCAGTCTGTCCCTTATCAGAACTCGAGTGCTGTGATGGGAGATCCGTTGCTCCCTTCAGAGCTGCCAGGCAGGGAAGTTTAAGTCTGTTGAAGCTGAACCCCCAACCACCCTTTTTCCCAGGTGCTCTGTCCCTGTAAGGTAGGGGCTTTATTTATAAGGCCCTGATGGGCTTCTGCCTTTTTTCAGAGATGCCCTGCCCAGCAAGAAGGGAGTCTAGTGACAGTCTGCCTGCAGAGGCCTTGCTGAGTTGCTGTGGCTACATCTAGCTGCTGTGTAAACATCCGGGCAACTGTGTTTACACAGGAAAGGTTAAAACCGCCTACCTGAGTCTCAGCAATGGCAGACGCCTCTCCCCACACCAAACTAAACATCCCAGGTAAGGCTTATGCTGCTGTGCTGGCTACGAGAATTTCAAGCTGGTGGATCTTAGCTTGCTGGTCTTCGTGGTGTTGGGACCCTCTGAGCCACATCACTTGGCTCCCTGGCTTCAGCCCACTTTTTCAGGGGATTGAGCAGCTCTGTCCCACTGACATTCCAGGCAGCACTGGGGTATGAGAAAGAAAAAAAAAACTGCTGCAGCTAAAGCAGCCTCCCAGTTTTGTGCTAGAAACCCAGGGCACTGATGTTGTAGGCACCAGAGGGAATCTCTCCTTGTCTGCAGGTTGTGAAGATGGCGGGAAAAGCACAGCATCTGAGCCAGAGTGCCAGGGTGTCGGGAAAAGACCCTAATGGCTTCCCTTGGCTAGGAGAGGAAATTCTCTGGCCCCTCGTGCTTCGCAGGTGAGGCGACGTTCCACCTTACTTGCCTACCGCTTGTTTTATTATTTTCCTGTCATTATGTCATCCACGTTAGATTGGGCTGCACCCACTGTCTAACCAGTCCCAATGAGATGAACCTGGCACGTCAGTTGGAAATGCAGAGATCACTGCCTTCTGTGTCACTCTCACTGGGAACTGTGCTCTGGAGATGTTCCTAGTTGGCCATCTTGGTGGAAAATCCTATTGTATCTTAATGTTCTTTTTTTGTACTGTTAGATTTACTCTGGTCCATATTGATTTTTCAGTATTAAAATGATTAACATGCAGCTACTAAAGATGAGAAGATGACATCACAGGCTTTTGGATGTAAATTTGCTTAGCCTTTACTTTCTAGCTGATTTCACACTTACCCTCCCAACTTACGTTACTTCAGTTTTGTCTCCATTTTTAGGGCATCTAATGCTTATTTTCTGTTACATAATTCTAGCCACACATTTGTTTTTGTCTTAGAACTGATGCAGCTGGGGCTCCTGTAGGTTCCTTTTCTCTCGTGTCTTGATTGGTTGAAGTTTGGCCTCTAGGATATTCCTCAACAGGAGATTACGTGTATATTCTCTGAATTCTTCGGTATTCAAAAGCATTTGACTCTTTTTCTTATACCCAAATAACACATTTAGGTCACACATTCCTTCCCTGAAGATGCTGTAGGTGTTACTTCACTGACTTCAGCATTGATTGCTGCTGCAGAGAACTCGGGGGCAGCACACTCTTTTTTCTTTTGTAAATGACTCTGCCTACATGCCAAAAAATGTTGAGCTGTCATTTTGAAGTCCAGTAACTTTCCTATGATACGTCTCAGTTGGCTGTTGTGAGCCAATTTCCTTAGAATATAGTGTACTCTTTCTTAGGTAGATACAAGTCTTCTTTCATTTGGGGCAAGTTTTTAAAACTATATTTTTAAGTATTTAGTTATAATTCAACATTTTCTTCTTAAGCAACCTGAAACGTGTGTATGTTTGATCTCCCTTTGCTTGTCTTCCTACCTTCTTCCTTTTAATCTTTTTAACTCTTTCATCACTGCTTCCTTTGTCTTCAATTTTTACTTCATTTTTCTTGTCTTTTCCCCATTTCCTTTTCTTCTTTTTCTTTTCTTTCTTTGAGGCAGGGTCTCGCTCTGTCACCCAGGCTGGAGTACAGTAGCATAATTGCAGCTCGCTGTAAACTCAAGCACCTGGGAGCAAACAACACTTTTGCTTCAGCCTCTCAAGTAGCTGTGGCTACAGGTGTGCACTACCACACCTGGCTAATTTTTTTTTTTAAGTTTTTTTAAATTTTTTATAGAGATGGAGCTTCACTGCGTTGGCCAGGCTGGTCTTGAAGTCCCAGGCTCAAGTCAGCCTCCCGCCTTGGCCTCCTAAAGTGCTGGGATAACAGGTGTGAACCATCATACCCAGCCTATGCTTTGTGTTCCCTGCTATGTTTTTAGTGGCATCTAGTCATCCTGGTGCTTCTTCCAATTTCACTTTCATTTCTGTCGTGGTTTTAGCTTTTTCCTTCAGTCTTTCTCCTGAGTTCTGCTAGATCACATTTCACCTGCCCCCCTGTTGCCTCATGATCTCTCTCTTGAACTTTTTATTTTTTTGACATAGGGTCTCACTTTGTCACCCAGGTTGGAGTGCAGTGTTGTGTTCACAGCTCACAACTTTGACCTCCTGAGCTCAAGCTGTCCTCCCGAATAGCTGGTACCACAGGCACAGACCAGCTAATTGTTAGTTGGTTTTTTAAAATTTTTTTTGTGGAGATGGGGTCTCACCATGTTTCCCAGGCTGGTTTCAAACTCCTGGGCTCAAGCAATTCTCTCACCTTGTTTTCTCAACGTGCTAGGATTACAGGTGTGAGCCACTGTGCCTGGCTTCTTTTGACTTCTTGTACCTGATTTGTATTCTTCCTTCATAGAATCAGTTGCTTCATCTTTTAAATTAATAGCAAAAGTTTGGGTCATAATTTTCATCTTTCTTATGGAGATGCTTTTCTGCTGTTTGCCTACGACTTGTTTTATTCTTGTCATTACATCAAGAAAAGAATATAATGGTTTCTTTTTGACTTTTCATCTGTGTAAGATGACTCTTTCCTGGATCCGTTATTTGCAAAAGGTCATGTTGGGGAAGAACCAGAGCCAACTAAAACTAGTCTTCTGTTGCAGAGTTTGCTGTGTAAGTTGGTTTCTCTTGCGTTAATGGCGTGAAGTACCTAAGAGTGTTTTTCTAAAGCCAAGTTACTTTTCTCCCCTCTCACAGAGATAGCTGTTTCCTGCAAGTATGACTTGTGTCTGTGATTTCTCTTTTAGCCTTACTTTTGCGTTTTCTGGAATAAAACCAGGTATAAGGGTATTCCTTCTGCCTGGATGTACATCCTTTCTCCTGTTGCACACCAATAATAAGTGCTGCACCTCAGGGCACACCCCTGCCTTTGAGAAGTGTATTTTGTCTTTTTCCAAAATCTGTGTAGCAATGCCTTGTCTCTTCATGCATTCCTAAATCATCTCCACTAGTTTGGTAACGCTTCCACTTATTTTATAGTTTGATGGTCTAGCTATTTTTGTTTGTTTTATCAGAAGTGGAGTTTATTTTTCTTTCTGTCTCATTCTCCTTACTGCTTCTGAGTAGTTTCCAAGAAGAAAAAGAAGAGCTGACTTTATGTTTCTATCTAGAAATCCGAAGTTTCTTCCAGCCTTTTAAATTTACTATTATTTGGATACGTTTTATAATGCTTATGATATATTAAAACATGCATAACATTTATATATAAATATCTAAGATTTATATATAAATTTGTAATATATATGCTATTAGATTGTATGCACCCTCCAAATTTTTATTTATAATTGGTCAAAAAAGTTTAGAGATTACGGAAGTCAAGAAAATTGAGTGTATTAAATGCTATTCTAAAAATAGAGAAGGCTGCTTGTCCAGAGAAAGGTAACAACTCCTTCTTCTAATAAGCGTAGATAATTATCACATACTATTTCAGTAGCATGCACTGTGGCGGGAAAATGGTTTGAGCAGTAATATCTGAAAGGAAAGTAAGAATAACTTACTTTTGTTAGTTTTGCTGTTAGACAGTATAATGTTTTACAGACAAACCACTTCACATATTTGATTTGATCTTCCAAATGACCCATTAAAGAAGATATCATTATGTCCTTTTCATAATTACAAAAAATAAGGCTCACAGAGGTTAAGTGATTCACTAATGTCAAACCCTGGTCACTGGAGTCTTCAATCGTTGCTTGAAATTCAGGGAGCGATAATGTCTCTCAGTGGGCTGTGGACCCATACAAAGCAAATCCTATACTTAAGAAGCTGCCAAGTCACAGAACTTTCCTGATAAAAACACATTAATCCTGAATTCTTTTTATTTTAAATCAGATAAAAGCAGAGAAATATGCCAACTTTTTCAAATACTTGAGACAATCTTTTAAAAATTTCTTGGATTGGCCTCACAGCACAAAGAAAAGAGGAGATATATTTGCCCTTTAGTTTATTTGATCAGCGTATTCAAGGCAGGTAACTAAACTCAAAGAGGACTTTAGAATGAGATATTACAGATTTTATTTTTAACTTATTCAGTGTTCAGATGACCAGTGGCTTGGGATCAAGTCAATTACTATTTGAGAGTACATCAAATAACCAACAGTTAAAATGTCAGAATAGCTTCATTCTTTTGAAATAAACTGCCTCTTCCATAATTTATTCTGATGCTTGGTGGCCAGATGCTATGCAATAAAATAATTAAAATTTCTATCACTTTTAAATGCAGCTTAGGCATAACCAAGTGGGTGTATTTTATTGATTTATTAATACAGTCAGAATGCGCGCACGCGTGTGTGTGTGTGTGTGTTGGGGAAGACATGAAACAATTGTGCGTAGATTAACTGTGCTCAAACAGTAAAAAAAAAAAAAAAAAAAGGAAAAAGGAAAAACTGTGCTCAAAGATTTCAGATGTATAAAGAACATTTTTGGCCAGGCTCAGTGGTTTATTCCTGTAACACTTTGGGAGGCCAAGGCAGGCAGATCTCGTGAGGTCAGGAGTTTGAGACAAGCTTGGCCAACATGGTGAAACCCCATCTCTACTAAAAATACAAAAACTTAGCTGGTTTGGTGGTGCATGCCTGTGGCCCCAGCTACTTGGGAGACTGTGGCAGGAGAGTAACTTGAACCTGAGAGGTGGAGGTTACAGTGAGCCAGACCATGTAACAACCATGACCAATTGCTTTTATTAATTTATGAACTCATGACTATTTGAATAAGATTTTTTTTAAGGTAAGTACAACAGCTCCAATCACTGATGGCAGACAGATTTTTCTGCAATAAACATTTTAGTAATAATATTGCAGACTCTAGGCTTTGGATTAGCTGGATGTCTCTCCTTGACAAACACTCCTTTCTAAAACGTGTTCACTTTTTACTGTTAAAAGAAATATCTAAGCAAAACTACAAGATGGAAGGAAGGAAGAGAAAAAGGGAGAAAGGAAAGAAGGAAGATTCCATTGGGAAATATATATCTATGTATGCAGGGTTTCGTGTGAAACTAAACACTCTTCCTAAAGTTGGGAAGAGGTTTTTTAAATATACTATCACCCTGCTATCTGCACCTAATTCTACAGGCTTTAAAAATGGCTAATTAAAACTTCACTGTATTACTTAGTTAATTCAGTTGACAACCCTAGGGAATATTTTGGCAATTAATTATATACATTGACAATTTTTACATGATGGGTATAAAATCCCACCCCAGCAACCAAATTTTTGCAGGTCCAAATTAATCTTAATCAGTAGTAAGAAGTGTAATTGGGCTAGTTTGATTAGTGATTATTCCTATAGTGCTTCAAAGAGTTTGTCATTCTTATGAATTGTTTTTTTGCAGCAATGTAATCTGCCAAAAGATGCATATTTCTAGGGAGGACACTGGACACTGATGAATAAATATGAACTTTCTCTTTATCTCTCACACACTTACAAACACACACTTTAAAGTTAGATTTCTACTCACCTTCAAGTTTATTCAATTTCAGATTCTTAATAAGTGATTACACTAAGCCCAAGAACTTGCTAGATTAAAAATATGGCAGAGATATTTACAGCAAATTCATATTTATTCATCATAGTGTCCTCCCTAGAAATATACGTCTTTTTGCAGATTGTATTGCTGCAGAAAAATAATTTATAAGAATGACAAACTCTTTGACACACACAAAAAAATGAATGACAAACTCTTTGAAGTACCGTAGGAATGATCACTAATCAAACTAGCCCAATTACGTTTCTTATTACTGATTAAGGAGACAAGACTTGGAAGATCTTTAACAATTAAGATAGAACTGAATCAGGTCCCAAAATACACTGGGCTCTGGAGCCAGATTAGTGTGACTTCTTGGGTTTCAAGGAGGAAGTTAGTCTGTGGTGATGGAAAGAATTAAACATTTGAGCGATTACACCATGGTGTGTTGCGTGCTGTGGTGGAGTCAGGTAGCCGGACATGGGAAATACAAAGCAAGCAAAGTATAACTCACACCGGGGGAGACAGGAAGGCTTCACTAAGAGCATGACATCTGCCATTAGTTTTTTTATTTATTATACTTTAAGTCCTGGGGTACATGTGCAGAACATGCAGGTTTGTTATGTAGGCATACACATGCCATGGTGGTTTGCTACATCCATCACCCCATCATCTACGTTAGGTATTTCTCCTGATGCTATCCCTCCCCTAGCCCCACACTCCCCGACAGACCCCGGTGTGTGACGTTCCCCTCCCTGTGTCCATGTGTTCTCATTATTCAACACCCACTTATGAGTGAGAACATGCAGTGTTTGGTTTTCTGTTCTTGTTTCAGTTTGCCGAGAATGATGGTTTCCAGCTTCATCCATGTCCCTGCAGAGGACATGTACTCATCCTTTTTTGTGGCTGCATAGTATTCCATGGTGTATATATGCCACATTTTCTTTATCCAGTCTATCATTGATGGACATTTGGGTTGGTTCCAAGTCTTTGCTATTGTGAACAGTACCACAGTAAACTTAGGTGTGCATGTGTCTTCATAATAGAATGATTTATAATCCTTTGGGTATATACCCAGTAATGGGATTGCTGGGTCAAATGGAATCTCTATTTTTAGGTCCTTGAGGAATCGCCACACTGTCTTCCACAATGGTTGAACTAATTTACACTCCCACCAACAGTGTAAATGTGTTCCTATTTCTCCACATCCTCTCCAGCATCTGTTGTCTCCTGATTTTTTAATGATCACCATTCTAACTGGCGTGAGATGGTATCTCAATGCGGTTTTGATTTGCATTTCTCTAATGACTGGTAATGATGAGCTCTCTTTCATATGTTTGTTGAGATTAGTTTTAAAAGACAAAGAGTTTGTCAAGAAGAAAAAGAAGGGCAGAGTGCACAAGGCAAAGGCCGACAGTGTTTTAAAGGGCTGAGAAGTTTGGACTTTGCTTGCAAATCACTGGGGCCATGAAGCTTGTTCAGTAAGAGGAGGACGTGGTCAGAGCTGAGTTTTGGAAAGACTCAGTGAATGTGGAATCCAGAGAAGGATTGTATCACAGACAGGAGGGTGACTTCAGAAGTGTCACAAATGACAGGACCAGAACTAAAGCAGATGCTGCAGAGGCGAAGGCCAGAAGATCTCCTTGCCACTGCATAAACCTAGACTAGGGACTTTTTTCTTTTAACTGGTTTTGAACAGTTGTTTTGGAAGGAACAGCAGGAGAGATTATAAGTGGTTGCTTTCTCCCAAATTATGGAAGATTACTCCCTGTGACCATCTACTTTGCACGGTTTATGGTTACCAAGTCGAATTAATAAATATTTATGGAGCAAGACACCTATGCTCACTCCCGGGAAGATTCAATTCCTGTGTTGCGCAAACTCCATTTCAGCCATTTGGAATGGGAATTAGAAGTTGCCTGCACCCGTAAGCATCCTGCATAGGCACAGCAGTCATTTATGTAGCCTGTGTGGGAGAGAAGAAAAAAATTGCTGTGTTTTTCATTACCCAGCAAATTCCATCCATCTGCCCCTTACCAGTGAATTAAGTGTAAGTAAATAAATACAACCAAGTTCACTGGTAACCTTTAGTACCTTCCATTAATCAGAGTAATAAGGGTTTCTTTCTGGGGGCTTCACTGATTCTATAGAAAGAAAAATGGTGACAAGAGGTCAGTTTAGCTGCAATCCTATGACGCTTTGTCAATATGGAATTGGCAATTCAGTTATGGTGAAAAATAAGGGCATTGTTTAGCTGTTAGGAGTTAGTAAATAGATTATTTATTATGTTGTCTGTCATCAATCAGAACCCAAGCTGCCAACAAGACACCAGCTGCCTGAGTCATTTTCCTGCAAAAGCCTAAAACAGTTTGCTTGCATGCTTTCTTCCTCTCTCTCTCTCTCCCTCTCCCTCCCCCCTCCCTCCCTCCATGTGTGTGTGTGTGTGTGTGTGTGTGTGTGTGTGTGTGTGCAATTATATGTGTCTGTGAGTGTTAGAAAATGTTATACTATTTAAGGTTGATGAATGTAGGAATTTATTAACAGGAAATGAAAACTGATAGGTATTTAACATTTAATGTGAAATCTACTATAACATAAAAAACTCAAAATAATACTAACTGTTTTAATTGTCCATGGTAATTAAACTGTCACTATGGTCATTAAAAAGATAGTGAATAGTAAGTTATTGACACAAGCTCTTCAGATAAAATGGGCTCATTTTAAACCTAAATTTAACTTAAATTGAATGATTGCCTGCCTCTCTCTCTCTCTCTCTCTTTAATTTTTCTTAGTGTCAGCATCAAAATCTGTTTTTATCTGTGTTTAACAGGGATACACCTAAAGTCGCTGAGTCAGCATGTGGTAATAAAAATTCCTGCTAATAAAATCTTTAGCTTCAATACAGGGAAAGGTTTATCAAACACGGGACGTAGTAAGAGAACTGTGGTTTAGCTATTTGGGAAGTACATGTGTGGGTTTGTGTGGAGGTGTGTATTTGTCTCACATCGTGCACTTAAATAAATTCTGGAGGGATTCAAATTAAAATTTGTAATCCAATACAGACAGAATGTTAAAAATAAATATGTATCAAATATCTTAAGGAGAAAGAAAATGCCTGGACTTGGAATTTTGTATTAATATGTAACCTCTCCTCCTCCATCTTCATTTCCCATTGCTTCCCATTGTATACGTTTCATCCGGACAATGATGGCAGTGGCATGCCATCTGGAGTGGCCACTGCCGTCACGCCAGCTGCAGCAGGGAGGCACGGTGGGGGCTCCATGCTGCATGGAACCACCCAGAGCCAGGGACAAGAGGGAGCCCCTCCCCTTCCGAGTTGGGGTGGGAGCTTTCCGGGTGCCACTGCAGCCACCCAAGCCACTGCTGCAAACATGAGCATCCCTGTGCTTCTGGGTTCTGGGGGCAGGTGGGAGCCCCACCCTCCCAGGCACAGCTGCAGCCACACAAATTGTGACTGCAGACCCAGACACCTCTTCACTCTTGGGAGCCCAGAAAGCCTCCTCCGCCGCTCCCTCTCAACCCTTGCATGTTGGAGATGACTGCTCCAGCTGCCTAGCTTCTCCCTGATGTCAGTGCCCACTCTGATCTCAGGGCCAACCTCAGGTGCTGTCACAGCCTTGCCAAGTATGCACACACTCAGGGCAGTGCTGACATGCCAGCCTCCTGCTGTCTTGACCTGTTACAGACGTTGCTCGTGAGAGTAAGGAGGGAAGCCAAGGAGGGCCTGAGAGCAGCTAAGACTGGCTTGCATGCACCCCTTGGCATCTATGGCCTGGGCTCCATGGACACAGCAGGAGGTAGACAGATTTTTGGTTGGAAGAGGGCAGGTCCCTGGTGATGCCCTACCTTCAGGCCAGGGAGGCCTGAAGGCTGGGGGTAGGGCTGCCAGTCCCACCGGTAGGAACTTGTGGTGCCTTTTCTAGGCCCACCCATGGCCACCCATGGACCAATCAGTATGCACTTCCTCCCCTCTGAGGCCCATAAAAAGCCCTGGGCTCAGCCAGAGCGGCAGACATTCAGAGGACAAGTTGCAGAGAGAAGCCACGTACTCCAGGCCTCCTCTCTGCTGAGAGTTGTGGATGTCAGGACAACCAGCTACAGAGAGGAGCCACCCCCTCCAGGGCCTCCTTTCTGCTGAGAGCTGCAGAGATGACAGGACAACCTACCTGCAGAGAGGAGCTTCCCACTCCAGGGTCTCCTCTTTGCTAGGAGCTAAACACTCATTGGAACACTCTGGCTGCAGAAAGGAGCTGGGCTTCCCACTGAGGATCTCCTCTATTACTCAGTAAAGCTCCTCTTCATCTTGCATAACCTCCCCTTGTCTGCATACGTCATTCTTCCTGGGTGCAGAGCAAAAATTCAGGACCCCTTGAATGGTGGGGCTAAGAGCTGTAACACATACATACCTGAAACATGCGCCTTGCTTGCCCTGTTGTGGGTGAAGAGGAGAGAAGTGTTGCAGCTCTTTGGGGATCCCAGACCTTGGTTCATGGTATCTCCAAGCTTTTGGGCACCACCACATTCCCCAGTGCCAGCCAAGGAAGCTGCTTGCAGTGAGCCTGATCCAGCCACAGCCTCACAGAGAGCTGGCACTCATACCAGCACCTGGAGCTGCCTGCCTGGCAGCAGCCAGCATGTGTGACTGCATAGTGACCAGACCCTGTGCTCACTCACATGCCCCTTGCCACTTCACACCTGACTCACAGTCTCCTTTGAAGGGATGGGATCCGGGCCAGTAGTGTGAGCTGAGTGCAGCCTGACAGACCAAGTGGGTGGAACAAGCCCAGGGGATCCAAGAAAAACTCAGGCAAAGATGCCACCAGCTACAGGTTTCCAGCCAGAAAAGTGACACCCCAAGGATTCTGTAACAATAACAATTTCAAATGCCCTGTGAACACCAAGCTGGTTCACAGTTACTTCTCTCTAGAACACTTTCACCTCTTATTTGGCTAGCTAATGTGCATTCATCCTTCAAGGCTTGCTTGATGTGCCATCTTCTCTAGGAAGCCATGCTTGTCATCTCTTCCAGGTCCCATCCCATCTCTACCTGCTGGAAGTTGGGATCAGGAGTCTGCGTTTCCTAGTTCCCTGAACCTACCACACTACACCAAATCATCATAATTTATTGACTACTCCTTCCTTTCCCCACTGATCTGCCTTATCAGTTCTGTAATATATTAAAGTCCTGTATGCAAGTAGGTATGTTTCTGTTCCACTGGTTGATTTGCCTATCACTGTGTTAAATACTGCACTGCATGAATTGTCATAGTTTATAATAAGTCCTTTTTGTTTTGAGACAGGGTCTCACTCTGTCACCCAGGTTGGATTGCAATGGTGGAAGCATGGGTCACTGTAGCCTTGACTTTTCCAGGCTTTGGTGATCCTCCCTCCTCAGCCTCCTGCGTAGCTGGGACTGCAAGGGCACAGCATCCCACCTGAGTAATATTTGGTAGAAAAAAATATGCTATTTTTCCCAGGCTGGTTTCAAACTCCTGGCCTCAAGTGGCCTGCCTACCTCAGTCTCCCACAGTGCTGGAATTACAGGAGTGAGCCACCATGCCCAGCCTAATAAGTCTTTATGGGGCAAATCCTTCTCTTTATTTTTCTTTTTAATATCTGTGTTAATCCATTCTCATGCTGTTAATAAAGGCACACTGGAGACTGGGTAATTTATAAAGGAAAGAGGTTTAAGGGATTCACAGTTCCATATGGCTGGGGAAGCCTCACAATCAAAGCAGAAGACAAAAGAGCAAAGGGACTTCTTACATGGCAGCAGACAAGATGACATGTGCAGGGGAATTCCTCTTTATAAAACCATCAGATCTCATGAGACTTACTCACTGTCACGAGAACAGCATGAGAAAAACCTGTCCCCATAATTCAGTTACCTCCCACTAGGTCCCTTCCCCGACACATGGGGATTATTAAAATTCAAGGTGAGATTTGAATGGGGATACAGAGCCAAACCATATTATTCTGCCCCAACCCTTCCCAAACCTCATGACCTCACCTTTCAAAACAAATCATGTCTTCCCAAGAGTCTGCCAAAGTTTTAACCCATTTCAGCATTAACTCAAAAGTCCAGAGTCCAAAGTCTCATCTGAGACAAGGCAAGTCCTTTCTGCCAATGAGCCTGTGAAATCACGTTAGTTACTTCCCAGATACAATGGGGGGGTACAAGCATTGGGTAAATACACCCATTCCAAATGGAAGAAATTGGTCAAAATAAAGGGGGTACAGGCCCCATGCAAATCGTAAATCCAATAGGGCAGTCATTAAACCTTAAAGTTCCAAACCGATCTTTGACTCCATGTCTCACATCCAGGTCACACTGATACAAGAGGTGGGCTCCCATAGCCTTGGGCAGTTCTGTTCCTTTGCCTATAGGGTACAACCCCTCTCCGGGCTGCTTTCATGGGCTGGCATTGTCTGCAGCTTTTCCAGGTGTACAGTGCAAGCTGTTAGTGGACCTATCATTCTGGGGTCTGAAGGACAGTGGCCCTCTTCTAACAGCTCTATTAGGCCATGCTCCAGTGGGGACTCTGTGCAGGGCCTCCAACCCCACCTTTCCCTTCTGCACTGCTCTAGCAGAGGTTCTCCATTAGGGCTCCACCCTGCAGCAGACTTCTGCCTGAACATCCAGGTGTTTACACACATCTTCTGAAATGTAGGCAGAAGTTCCCAAACCTAAGTTTTTGACTTCTGTGCACCTGCAGGCTCAATACCACATGGAAGCTGCCAAAGTTTGGGGCTTGAACCCTATGAAGCCATGGCCCAAGCTGTACCTTGGCCCCTTTTAGGCATGGCTAGAGCTGCTGGGATGCAGGACACCATGTCCCTAGGCTGCATACAGCATGAGGGCCCTAGGCCCAGCCCACAAAACCATTTTTCCTCCTAGGCCTCCGGTCCTGTGGTGGGGGAAGCTGCTGGGAAGTTCTCTGTCATGCCTTGAAGACATTTTCCTCATTACCTTGGTGATTAACATTTGGCGCCTCATTACTTATACAACTTTCTGCAGCCAACTTGAATTTCTCCTCAAAAAAGGGTTTTTTTTTTTCTGTCACATCATCAGGCTGCAAATTTTCTGAACTTTTATGCTCTGCTTCCCTTTTAAACATAAGTTCCAATTTCAAACCATATCTTTGTGAAACCTAAAACTGAAGGCTTTTAACTGTATCCAAGTCACATCTTGAACACTTTGCTGCTTACAGCTTTCTTCTACCTGATACCCTAAATCATCTCCTTCAAGTTCAAATTTCCACAGATCTCTAGGAAAAGGGCAAAATGCCACCAAGTCTATTTGCTAAAACATAGCAAGAGTCATCTTTGTTCCAGTTCCCAACAATTTCCTCATTTCCATCTGAGACCATCTCAGCCTGGACTTCATTATCCATATCAGTATCAACATTTTGGTCAAAGACTTTTGACAGGTTTCTAGGAAGTTCCAAACTTTCCTATAATTTTCTGTCTTCCTCTGAGTCCTCCAAACTGTTTCAACCTCTGCCTGTCACCCAGTTCCAAAGTCACTCCCACATTTTTGGGTATCTTTACAGCCGCACCCCACTCTACTGGTACAAATTTACTGTGTTAGTCTGTTCTCATCCTGCTAATAAAGACATATCTGAGACTGAGTAATTTATAAAGGAAAGAGCTTTTAATGGACTCACAGCTCCATGTGGCTGGGGAGACCTCACAATCATGGTGGAAGATGAAAGAAGAGCAAAGTGATGTCTTACATGGTGGCAAGCAAGAGGGCATGTGCAGGGGAACTCCCCTATATAAAACCATCAGGTCTCATGAGACTTACACACTATTCACAAGAACAACATGGGAAAAACTCATCACCATGATTTAGTTACCACCAGGCTCCCCCCAATGACACATAGGGATTATTACAATTCAAGGTGAGATTTGGATGGGGACACAGAGCCAAACAACATCAATATCTTTATGATATTGATCATTCCTGTCCTTGAACATAGAATATCTCTCCATTTATTTAGATCTAATGATTTAATTATCCACATATTGGTAGTGCTAATATATTACTAGATTTATTCCTAAGTACTGTATTGGGTTGTTTGTTGTTGTTTTGCTATTGTAAATGGAATCTTTTCTCAAAGTATGGTTTCTATTTGTTGATATACAGAAAGGTTATTGATTTTTGTACATTATTTCCTACAACCTTGCTAAATTCTCAATTTTCTAATATTTTGTCAATTCTTTAGGTTAACCTGGGCAACCAGTTGTATAATCCATAAATAATTTTCATTTCTCCCTTCCCATTCTTATACCCTAAGTTTCTTTTCTTTGTCTTTCTCTGCTGGCGAAGACCCCCAGTACTATTGATTTGAAGAAATGATAGTGGATGCTTTTGTCGTGTTTCTGTTTTTAAAAGAATGACTTCAACAATTTCTCATTAAGAATTATACTTTCAGATAAAGAAGTCTAAAGGGCTAATGTGCAACATGAGAACTATAGTTAATAATAGCATATTATATTTAGGATTTTTGCTAAACAAGTAGATTTTTGCCGCTCTTGCCACAGGGAAGTTAGGGGAAATGCGTAAATATATGAAATGATGGATATTCTCATTTATTTCACTATGGTAACCATTTTCCTATATATATATGTCATAGTACATACTAAATATGTACTATACATGTTTTCCTTAAATATACACCATAAAAATATTTTTGAAAAGAATTATACTTTAGGTTCTTTATGGATACCCTTTATCAAGTTAAAGAAGTTTTGCTTTTTCTAGTTTGCCAAGAATGATTATCATGACTGGATACTGAATTATATCAGATGCTTTTTCTGCAACTCCTAAGAGAATCCTGTGACTTTCTCCTTTAATTTTGAATATACTAAATAACATTTATTTCTGAAAATTAAACTATAGTATAAGACCATAGTCACCAAAAAAGCGTGGTATTGGCATTAAAATAGGCTCAAGGACCAATGGAACAGAATAAAGAACCCAGAATAAACCCAAATACTTAGAGTCAACTGATCTTTTACATATCAAACAAAAACATAAAGTGGAAGGACACCCTTTTCAACAAGTGATGCTGGAATAATTGGCTAGCCACATGCAGGAAACTAGATCCTCATCTCTCACCTTACACAAATTTCAACTCAAGATGGATTAAAGACTTAAACCTAAGACCTGAAACTATAAAAATCCTAGAAGATAACATTGGAAAAACCCTTCTAGACTTTGGCTCAGGCAAGGATTTCATGACCAAGATCCCAAAAGAAAATGAAATAAAAGCGAAGATAAATAGCTGGGGCCTAATTAAACTGAAGAGCTTTTGCATGGTAAAAGGAACAGTCCAAAGAGTAAACAGACAACCCACAGGGTGGGAGGAAATCCTCACATCTATATATAGGACAAAAGACTAATATCCAGAATCTACAACAAATTCAAACAAATCAGTAAGAAAAAAACAATCCCATCAAAAAGTGGCTTAAGGACATGAATAGACAATTCTCAAAAAGAAAATACACAAATGGCCAACAAACATATTTAAAAATGTTCAACATCAGCAATGATCAGGGAAATGCAAAGCCAGGTGTCCAGGTCACTTTGCAGAACAGCAGCTCTCTGCCCAAGTAGCTTCTCCTTGGCGATAGTTAATACAGATGATTTTCTGGAAGCATGGTGACACAGAACCTGGAAACTGACAGTGGAAACCTAGCTGTCAATCAAGAAGCACTAAGGCACCAGGCCACCACCTGCCGTTAGGAAAACTTTTACCACCGCAGGCCACTTGTCATTTCTTTGCAGAATGCACTCAGCTGGATCAGCCTGTGATACACTGACGTGATTTCAGCTAAACTACAGGGCTAAATACCAGAGGAGTAGGGCACTTGGAGCAGAGAAGAAAGAGAATGAAATAGCTATCATTACCTCCCTAAATTTCAACAAGCACGAAAGTGCCCTCTTCCTGAGCAGTCCAGATCCCCAATTTCAGACAGTGTAATGGCAGCTGGCTTTGCACGGCAGAAGTACAGACACTTGTCTACTGATGAGATGTCTTTCCTCTCCCTCTAAACAGGTGAAGATGATCTTCCAGCATCATTCCCAGTCCACGGTTTGGGCCCCTGACCTCATAGTGGATTTTATTCTAAAGCAGTGGTTTGTAGACTTCATTTAGAAACTCACTGCCAATCAGTACCTCTAGACTTTTATTCTAGAGAAATGTGCATATGCGCAGGCTTCTGCCACATACACGGTATCAGTGAAACACACAGACTTCCAGAGGCCCCTTCATGGAGCCCCTTAAGCTATCAGCCAGTTCTCTCTCCACTCGTGCTACTGCTCCCCATCTTGTGTCTGTTACAGGCCTCTTTAATGGTGCGTGGAAGCAGTGTTACAACGTTTTCTGCCACAGAGCTCCTAGAAGCCACTCGGAATTAATTTCCGCAAGCCTGTGGATAAAACATGTTTGTCACTCTGTCCGTAACATTCATGGTACAAAAAACAAAAATCTGTTTCAGAGAAATCCTTCTTAGTCTGACTTCCTCCTCGCTGGATTCATGTATGGTTCTCTGATGATGTGGAAAAGCAGTTTGGTGCGAAGGAAAAACAAAACCACCTACAGTGAGAAATTAAGAGCAAAATTACATAAGGCTTTTTAAAAAAAAATTGGTATTCTAGTTGCATTTTTCAACTAAGAGTCATAAAATCATTTCCCAAGCCAGAAATATCATTATCCTCATTTCGCAGGTGAAAAACCAGGAATTACAGAGAGGTTAATGGCTGTGTCTAAAAGCACAGAGCACGCCCGCATCAGAAGGAGCTGGAAATTCAGCTATGGGCAAGGGCTCATACTGTTCTGTCATAACCCAAACTTTCCTGAAGAAGTTTGGCTTGGCTCTAATTGGCATTCAATTTTAAAAAATGTCTTTCATTAAAAAATATAATTTGAAGAACTGGGTAATTGACTCACATTTGATTAAGGCAGATTCTATTGGATTAGCATGATTAATAGGTAAAATTATAATCAAACAGAAAGCAGTACAAAAGGTGACTAAGTCATGGATCATATTAAGATACTAAATTTTTAAAAGATGGATGTGCTGGGTTCTTTTTTTTTCCATCAGTAATA